ACCCTACATACAGGTGCACGTGTCCCTAACCCTACATACAGGTGCACGTGTCCCTCACCCTACATACAGGTGCACATGACAAACAAATCATGAACTTGCTCACAAAATAAAACTAAACTGCTCGTAGTGGTCAAAGACATCCAGAAGGAGCGTTTAAATGTGTGACAGTCAGAACCAGTGGCTCAGACCAGAACGGACCTCCCTCCTCTCCGTGAGTCGTCACAGCTAGAACAGGTGTGTTCATGAGGACCGACACAAGCGCCAGTGCTGGAGAACACACTGGAGGTTGTAGTGCTTTGCTGTCTTCAGCCATCCTGTCACAGAGCAGATGGAGAACAGGAGGAACCTCTGCTGCTGAAACACAACCACACAGATCAGCTCGTTAAGAAATACATGATTATTGTTGTTGTTTGGGTTTCTGGTGTGTCATGTGGAAGGTCCGCTTTAAACCCAGGGAGGGCCTCACTGACATGCGTGAGCCAGACCTCCAACCAGACACTGAACAGAGCAGCTCAGGGGACTCCATCTCTGTTATGGACCCAGTTAGCAGCTACAGCTTCAGTCACACAGAGCTGTCTGCTGCCACGTCACTCATATCTGAGTTTGTGGAGCTTTTAAAGTCAATGAACCAGAAGGTCTTCCTTCATCGTGCAGCCTGCAGCAGCGCTGACAGACCTGCAGCCAGGCTCAGGACGGCACTGCATAGATTCACTCTGTTCTTCAGGGTCATTCATGTGTTCCTCATTTAATATGTACCTCCTTTGCCTTTTCCACCTGTTGTGCAATTGTTAGTGTGCAGATCCTCCGTAGAGACGTGTATTTACATATATATATGTTCTGTATGTAGGTATGTAGGTGTTGGCAGGTTCTCTGCTCTGTGTGCTTCGGTCAGGGCTGATTATTTGGATTTATTCCTACAGCTTTAGACTAGAATTTCTCTCAGTGTTGCTTTGAACCACTGAACTGTCAGATATTAACTCCAGCTTCCCTGGAACACGGCTGCTCATGTATTTATTTGTCATGTTTACATGATGCCTCCTCAGATCAGGTTTGACTCGTTTCTATGGGACTGAGATGAATTTAAGCAACTGGTGGTTTAGCTAAAGATAAGCGTTGATTTTTTGTAATTGCATTCGATCCCTCTGTCTGTTCACATCTCGTAATAATCCCGACGTCAGCTGTGAACTGGGAGGACAGCTTGGCTCCAGAATCAGGCAGTAGAACTTCATCCTGTCAAATCAAACATCCTGCTGCAGATTGAGACACACGGAGAGGAGCTGTAGAGAAGTAATTGTTGGCTAAAGTATAATCCACACGCTTGATGGTTGGATGTTGACAACAATGAAAGCATAACCAAAAACATATGTTCATGCCATTTGTTGGCAGAAAGAAATGAGGAGGTTTGACTGTGTTTGGTGTCAGTGACAGTAAAAACAATCCACAAAACAAAATGCCTGAAGTCTGACTGAAAACCCCAAAAGTTCTTCATCTGGGCTGCCGTCACGTTTCTCTGAGATGAAACGAGCACTTAGAGCAACACAGCAGGTCAGCAGGTCACATGGACGCCGTCAGGAGAGTGTGTCTGTCGGCTGGATGTGACGCTTTAGAGCACATCCTGTCACATGACAACAGGACGCCGCCCCCTGCTGAGATCAGACGGGCTGCACTCACAACAAGCTACAGACAAGAGGAATAAAATAACTGAGACATTCATTTTTAAGAAGCAATTAAAAAAAAAAGGTTTAGAGCAGTAAAAATCATTTAAAAATAAATAAATGAATAAAATGAACAGGTACACATCTAACCCACAGTCTGCTGTGATGGAGGACCAAACCTGATGAACGGAGAGGAAACAGTCGACTGACTGACAGGAAATGGTCAAAAAAACTGAACATGAGATGATTTACTCACAGCGCTAACAGGGTCGGTGGGTCCAGAGGGTGGCGCTAGAGCACGGGTTCATCCTCTGAGGAGCAGGAATGTGATGAGAACATCAGATAATGGTGTGTGTGTGTGTGTGTGTGTGCGTGTGTGCGTGTGTGTGAAATATCCTGTGGGACTGTTGTCCTGGTGGTGGCGCTAGAGGACGGTGAAGGCAGCCACCAGTCAGGGGGTTCAGGTCCAGCCTCTGGGGGGCGACAGCTGCTTTGGTGGAACATGAATGTGGAATCTTTGCATTTCACATTGACTTGTGTTTTCACTCCAGACTTTCTATTTTACTTTCCTTCAGCAGGACGTTCTTCATGGGTGGTGGTGATTTACTTTTTCTTTGTCCATTTTTAGTTGACTTATACATTTATGTGCCCATTTTATTTACTCATGCACTCATTGGTTTATTTACTACTAGGTCAGGTTTGGTCCTCCACACTTGGTGGCTGCTGTTTCCAGGATGGACACAATAACACCACACTCTATCTACAGCCTCACGTCTTATCATTTACGGCCTCGTCCGAGACAAACGTGTGCACAAACCCGCTTTAGTGATATCTGATCGAGCTCTGCTTCGATTTCTTCTGTATTTTCGTGCCGATCGTCACCGCTAGACTCAGAGCCCGACTGCCGCCAGCCACCGAGGACTGCCACTCTCTTTTTACGCCTCTCCAATTCTTTTCCCCTCCACATAACTACTGATGCCTTTGCCCCCAACCTATCGCTTTAAAAGTACACAGTATGTCAAGTTTGACTCACCTGAGGAGACAGAGAACAGAGCGAGGGTGCCATTGGGACAACACAAGAAGAAATAAAGTGATGTTTCGGGGTAAGCACAGTTTAGGAATAGTCCTTTACCTCTGTTCTCTCACTCAGTTTCTGTTCTTCCTCTTCCTTTTCCTTCTGTTCAGACATACTTCCTCCTTTTTCCTCCGTCGTGTGTCTGTGTTTAGTGTGCTTGATGACTCCATCTCTCTTTTGTGTTCCCTTTTCGTTTTGCATCTCCAATGCTTATTTTTTCTTCAGAAATCCAAACTTCAATCTGTCCAGGCTCAGACTGTTGTAGAATAGTGACATCAGTATGTGCAGTGCTCGTGCTGGTGACTTTGTGTTCTTCTAGAGTGTTGCTTTGTGGGGAAAAAATCACCATTTCTCAGCTAGAGGGATGCTAGTCTGACCAATCTGGCAACCCACACAGCTAAGACGTCTATTGACTGGAGTGTCCTGATAAGTTGACTAGCTTCTGACTAGATAGCTGTAACTGTAGACAGAGGGCCTCCCTCAGCTTCTCTCCCAGACTCCTCCTCCTGCTACCTTTGGCCAATGAGCTGAAGGCTTTAGATGTGTGAGAGCACCACTCAGCTCTCTCCTGTCTAACGCCTGTTCAGGGAGGGGAAGGAGACCAGGGCAGGAAGTCAAACAGAGTGCCGGCTGTTAGCATAGGCCAACGTGTCATGTGTTTCTGTACAGAGCCCGTCTCCACCTGTTAACCTCCCGTCCCTTCCTCTTTCTGATTGGTCTGTTTACAGTTGGAGGATGACAGGCATCAATCACGACCCAATCAGCTGAGGAGGCTGGCCTCCTACGTCTTCTCCTCCTCCACCCTGGAGACGGAGCAGTATCCTCACCAAGGAAGCAGCTTCATCCAGAGAAGCCGCTCAGCCGAAAGCAGCCCCGCCCACGCCATCGCCGCCTCTGCCTCCGCCCGGCGACGGCACGCCGGTACCCTGCCGACACCCGGCAGCCCGCGGAGCAGACACTCAGTCCTGAATGCGTCGAAAACGCAGCTGCAGCAGATGATAGCCAAGCTAATAAACAAGAACAGCAGCTGAGAGGACGAGGAGATGGGCTCAGATCACACACAGCAGCCAACATGCAAACTACACGGACACACAGCACACGCATGTACACACACATGTGCACACACACACGTATGCAGGGCTGGTCACAAGCTTTGTGGGCAGACCTCCCACTTCCTCCCAGATCAGCTGTATAACGTCTAGACTGCGTTTATAGACTGTGACAACAGTAATAATCATGTGGGCGCCGCTGGAGCTCAGCTGGTTGAGCCGGTGACCCGTGAACAGGGCCGTGGGTTCCAATCCCGCTCACGGCCCTCTGCTGCAGGTCCTTCCCCCAGTTTCCTGTCTCTCTCTCTCTACTGTCCTGTCAATTAAAGGCCAGAAAGTTAACTTAAAATAATAATAATCATGTAAATCTGTGAAATGTGTTTGCTCGGTGCTCAGTGTAGTCTCAGAGGACAGCAGCCCTGATCCTTTGATCATCAGTCAGTCTGGAGCTGGGACTTGTGGGCATCGTGTCGACACCTTCAAATAACAAAGAACCAAAAACTAAAGCAGGAACTGGTTCCATGTTTGGCAGATTGGACTCGTGTGGCCAGCTCTGCACACCAACACACACACATGAATGTTGCAGATCATGACCACATGTTCACACAACAAGCCATAGCTGTGCTGGTGACACACACACATTCACATCGCGCCACCCACGAGTGTTCAAGAAGAGGATCAGAAGAGAAGGAGAACCGTGCTGAAGACAGGAATTATTTTCCATGCAATAAACTCTAAACACCTCTCTGCAAACCTGATGTTGCACAGACCAGGCAGAGCGGTGGGATAATGTGAACCTGAATACGTTCTCCTTGAAGAGGAGCGTGAGGAGCAGTGGGGCTGCTAACAGACTGTTACGCTGACAGTACTTGTGCTTTATTTATTTTTTTATTTTTTCTGCTTTTCCTGCTAAAAAGACGGAGTGGTTGTCGAGGAATGCAGGTCGTCCCGGCGATCAAGCTTTTGCACCAAGACTTTGAAGTCCGATCATCCCGTCCACCGAGCAATATGCCGCCACCGCTTCGCCATACGTCGACGCCTGCACAGAACCAGTGATCCAAACGTCTCGCTCTGATTGTAGCTTCATTAAATGTCGTATATGAAGATAGACGTGTGTGGAAAAGGTCTTTCTGAAGGTGTGAGAGGGATCTGTTGCTGATCTCTTATCACACCTTTCAGGTTACTGTGCTTTGGAAGTACGGCAGCCCTGAGGGCAAATATTTCACAGAAAGCAAACACAGTGACAACACAGCGAGCAAACACACGGGCATCTCACAAAACAAAACAAAAAAAATATCTCAAAAAATATATTCACAACTCCAAAATTAATTTTAAAAAATGAATTTACATTAGTTTTTCACAAAACATAATAAAAATCAAAAAACACTGACTCGACAAAAGACACGAAGTTTAAGACTCGACAACAGATCAGCTGACAGCAAAGTCATGTTGTTTTTATTTATTAAAATTAACAAAACTAAACAAGGAACGCTCGTTTTCTTTCTGAATGTAGCAACCTCTGATTTTAGTTCAGCTGATTTTCTGAAACTAGTTTAATGAAATGTTGTACTTTGCTGCTCAGACAGTGGGTGGCGCCAGTGTCCGCCCACAGCAGGAGCCTCTTTAAAGGCAGTTTAGTTCAAATCATTGAAATGGACGATGGATGTGGATCTGTTAGAAGCTGAGTCCTGGTAGACGTTACAGAGCTTTATCGGCACGCAGACCCGCTCGCTGTCGACGGAGCAGCTGCACAAACGTTCGCCTTCTGTTCTGGTTTGCATGTCAGCTTGACTGTTGCATCTCTTGTTTGGGCAGTTCTGAGTCTGTGACTAGCTTTAACCGGCCGGCACCACTTCACCCATACATGGAGGACTCTGAGGGTTCTGAACTGGCATCAGATGGGCCAGTTTCTGTTTGCATCCGTGTGCTTGTGTGGAGCGTTGCGGTCTCGCACAAAGCAGCAGTGTTGGTCAGTGGGCCCAACACTTGGTCCTACATAGACCGGGTTGTCATGGAGACACTAACAGAGGGTCTCCAGGGGACGGCAGCGTTGGTGCGCTTTGTGGTTTTGAGTGAATGATCTGTAGGACTGGGTGATGGACGTTTGGTATCCAGGGTGTATCCTAGATGGTGATCCTCGGACTACACACCGAGTCTGTCCAGGACGTCAGTTTCTTATCTGCACAACTAATGACGTTCTCATCATCTGCAGCCTCACTGGTGGCTGATGAGAGCAAATCAGTCCTAGATTCAAGATAAGAAGCTCAAAGAGACTCAGACGCCACCGTGAGTCAAAGCTCTGAGGTTCAGGTCTGATGTCTGTTTATTGGACCTGCATGTTGTGGCTGAGTTGAATCCGGGTCTTCCACACAACAGTCCATCACTTTCATTCATTGTTGTTCAATTGAAAACTCAATCAAGAAGTTTAGTTTAGTTTTTATACTGTGTGATGACTGGGACGGTTTGGTCTCTGTTTAGTAAATGTCAGCGAGTGCTTCATGTTGATGGAGGTGTTTGGGGAGATTCTCCTGGTTCTGACAGCTTGTCATGTGATCACCTTATTTCCCTCGTGCTTCCTCTTTCATCACTGTTTTCCGATCGCTGGACTTCACTGTTGCACTTTATTACGAGGTGGGCCGGAGGGGGCGGGGCCAGGCGGAGGGGGCGGGGCCGGGCGGAGCCAGGCGGAGGGGGCGGGGCCGGGGGGGGCCAGGCGGAGGGGCGGGGCCAGGCAGAGGGTCACGCTGTATGGATGCAAAACACAGACGCAATAAGTGAACTGTGGGATGTTATAGCAAAAAGAGAGACTTTGTAAAATGAACTCTGGGGGCTTATTTGTTTTTGAACATGCTCAGATTATTCCATATATCTTTCTTCCAGTACAGCTATTGGTGCATAACAGCTCCAGCACATCGAAGTAGAGAAAGTCTGCTTCAGAAAGGCCAGTGAGAGGAAAACCTGTCCAGTCAGGAACAGCTCTATGGTAAGGCCATGGAGCTGGTTTCCTCGGGTGTGGACCAGTGGAGCCAGCAGGACGTTGCTGTTATCAGCTGCTCGTTGTTGGTAGAGAAGACATTGTTGGTGGTTTATCTGATCCAGTGATAAGACATGTTCAGCAGCACTCTGGTCACGTTTTATTGTGTTTGGGTGAAACAGGAGGCAGAAAAATGTTTGCTTGTGTTGAAGAACATCCTGGTTTTAAAGCGAAATCCCACAAATCCCAAGTGGAAATAGTTCAAACCTGCAAACCTGTCGTCTTTTGATTGTCTTTAAAAATAGTTTTTTAAACTAATAACAATAAGTCACATGCCCCTCCCCCTGAAATGAGTGTGTTTTATCTGAATGACCACATCGGTTGCATCACTGCAGCCACCTGGAGTTCCAGCTCATCACACCAGGCTTAGGCTTAGAAGAAAGCAGAAGGCAGGTGACATGGTTCTGAAGCCATGAGAGGAGGTCGGGGTGGATAAAAGGGTAAACAAAACACTGGACAATAAGACAGGACACTGCCATCTGTTGGCCAGTTTCAGACTGATGGACTGCTCCTTACCCGAAGTGTGTTTTTATTTAGGTAACCTGACAAAGGTCTTCTGTTTCAGCTGCGACCTGGTCTTCTCGTAAACCTGACTGAGAGCTTTTTGTGCCTGAACATAAGAAAACAGAAGTGAAGCGCTTCAGAGGGGAAGCATTAGGTACAGAAAGACTCACCCTTGGCCACGCAGGTTTTATTGAAAAGAAGTGAGACTGTTAATCTCATTGGATGTCTCACTTCCACTAAATGAACTCTCACAGATAGTTTTATGGAAGTGTAGCTGCTAGCTGTGATCACTGACGTGTCTGTGGACAACAAACCACCAGATGCCAAAGCAAAGACTGAGTGTTTTTGATCAGTATTTAATCACCTTGAGTCCAGCAGCCTCTCTGTGGCGGGTCTTGGCTGCCAGTCACCACCGTGTCCAGTCAGAGTTTAACACGTGGCTGCTGCTAACATTACTCCGAACTCTGCGGTCTGCTGCTGTGAATGTCATCTGAGCAACTTTCTGTGGAGTCCAGCTGCGTCTCCTGAACACAAACCCAGAATCTGGCGATGAGAGACGAGCGAGGACGGCCATTTTGTGCAATGAAAGCCAAACTGTTGCTTTCTCAGTTTGTTAAAGGGCTACATTACCTAAATATGCACCACTTGCTGTTCCACTGAGCTTGTGTTTGAGGCGTTCTCTCTGTGCTGAAGCTCGTTAAGCTCCAGCCTGACGAGGACTCAGCCTGAGTTTGTCTTCATGCTGCTTCACGCTGAGTTCAGGACGCCCTGCTCGTTTTGTATTTAGCGTAGCGTTACAGTGCAACCACTTAGAGAATGTATAAAGTGGACTAGCTGCTAACTCTGAACTTTATTTTGCACGACAGCAAACGATTCACTTACCGTACAAGATTGTCACTGATCACGTCACGCTTGTGTTGCCATGGAGGCAGCAGCCATCACTCAGACACAACGCCCCAGCGCTCGTTCTGCCGACGACACTCGAGTTTAAACAGCGCGCCGCCGTGTTCCTGACAGGATGTCGAACCAAATGACTGTTGGACTGTCGCCACTCTTTGCATGAGCTCTCCTGTTTGTACGACATGCACCTCTGACTGTAAATGACTGAAAACAGCACTGTACTGTAATTACAACAAAACACAATGAATACACACCTCTGACTGAAAGAAGTCTGTGATCTTTTGTAAATAACTCACCGCTACTTGAGGAGATACTCACGGATCAGAGCTGAGTGCTGATCGGTAGGACAGGAGGTGGTTCCACCACATCCTTCATTCTGCATGTCAACATTTCATCTCACAGTTTGTTTGTCAGTGGAGGAGGTCACATCACGGCCTTCTCTTGATGTTTTACGAGTCAGGTTGTTCTTGGTGTCGACACTTCTGGATGGACGAGTCTGGTTTTTGCTGTTTTGAACCCGGTTCTTCTGGATCCTGACAGCTTC